GGGGGAACTGGGGGGGTTCAGTCTGGAGAAGAGGAGGCTGAGGGGAGACCTCCTGGCCCTCGGCAACTCCCTGCCAGGAGGGGGCAGAGAGGGGGGATGAGTCTCTGGAGCCAAGGCCCCAGCGCCAGGCCCCGAGGGAATGGCCTCAAGCTGCCCAGGGCAGGGTCAGGCTGGCTCTGAGGAAGGATTTCTGTGCAGAAGGGGCTGTTGGGCGTTGGAATGGGCTGCCCAGGGCAGGGGGGAGTCCCCGGGATCCCTGGGGGGGTTGAAGAGTCGGGCTGAGCCAGCGCTGAGGGATCTGGGGGAGTTGGGAAGGGTCAGGGTGAGGGTCATGGTTGGGCTGGAGGAGCTGCAGGGGCTTTTCCAACCCAGAGGATTCTGTGAAACGCTTTGCTCATCTTTCCCTAGACTAGTGACTGGCAGTAGTTTTGTTGTGTGGAGAGACAATTGGGAAGGAAGTACAACTTTGGGTGGGTCAAACCCTGGCTTGAAATCACTCACCAAGAACTGATCTTGAATTTGTGGCAGCCTATCAGGTCGTAAAGGTAAATATCCAAGCACTGTGCCCAAAAAGAGCTGGACTTCTCCCACATTCCTTCCTCAGAACCTAGCTTGACCCATGTATTAAAAGCTTTTCTGCTGAGAGGCCATGATTTCTATCACGGAGAGACAGTGCTGGAAACTGAATGAGTTTACCTGGTCTATGCTTGTTTTGATGTACTTGACTTTCCTCCCCCCACAGCGTTCATCGACCTCGTTGCAGCTTTGATGTGTGTCGTTATGCCCGACCACGCGGACGTCAGCCTCCCGCCGGAGGAGCGAGTGCGAAGGCTGATCCAGGTGGGAAGCGCCGTGGAAGTGAACGAGGACATCCCGCCACGACGCTACTACCGCTCCGGGGTGGAGATCCTCCGCATGGCCACCATTTACTCAGAAGAAGGCAATATTGAGCACGCCTTTATTTTGTACAACAAATATATCACGTAAGAGCAGCGTTGCTTCGTTTGCAAGTAACCTGTGTCGGTACAAGGGGTTGTGGGTTTGGTGTTACATTTTCTGAGTGTCTCTAAACACCGTGAGGCCTTGCTGAGCTGGAAGAACCGGGTTCTGGCTAGAGCTCTGCTCCTTTTGAATTTTGGTTCCCACAAAGGTGAGGATACGGCTGGTTGGACTGACCAGGCGATGTTGTAAAGGTGTGAGGCACAAACCCACAAACGCCGCTCACCTCTCTGCAGGAGGTTTGTAAAATTTCCCTTTGAAACCAGGCTGAGCTTGTATCCCCCTGTCCCTCTGCTAGCAGAGACACCCGTCAGCAGGAAGAAGGTTGTGTCTCCCTGGATATCAGAGCTTTCTGGTGTTTTATCACCACGGAGTAGCTAGATTGGCCTCGATTGTCACTAGGCTGGCTGTGACATCATACGGATTGGCAGGGATCCATGGTCGACAATCTCGATATCAGATATCTACTTGGAAAGGATGTAGGCTGGTTGGTGGCTTCACTAATAAACCATCTTCAAAGGAGAAACCTGCTTTAAACTGAAGTTGCTCCAGTCTTTTACAGCAGGCAGCGAGTTCCTTCTTCAGGTGCGGGGACTGGGACCAGTTGTATGTTTAGTTTTACATCCCAAAAAGCTTATAATCCTCAACCTCCACCCCCAACATGCACGCATGTATTCAAGCCCTTCTCAGGAGGGATAAGGGGAAGAGTTCTGGGTCCAAAGAACCTGATCCTAATCAACTGGTGACTTTTCTGGGTACTGAGCACCCTTCTAGAAAGCCCCAGACCGTATATGAACCCAGCCAACACCCTGTTTGGTGTTTCACCTGCCGGGTCTCCAGCCGTAGGGTCTGTGTTCTATGGAGACAAGTGAAGAGCCACGTATTCTTGCTGTCATCTCCACGGCTGCCCAGAGACAAGCCATCTTGGGTCTGAAAACCTCGTTGCTGAGCTGAAGCGTGCACCATGCTAGCGCGGTGACGTGGTGTCAGGTCTGGATCGTGTCTGAGCAGCCTGGAGTATGAGCGAGGCAAACATACGCCTCTCTGTAGCTGTGCCTCTTGGTGTTCAAAGGGCTGAAAACTGTGAGCCTTGGAAAATATCCTAATGATACGCAGTGTCCTGTTCCTATAGGTTTTTTGGCCAAAAGCCTGTCCCTCCCTTTTTTGCCCAGTGCCACTCTCGTATGGTCTCTGCTGTGCCCATGCTACCTGCTTACCCGGACTGTGACTGGCATCTCTGTGGGCATTTTCTCTTCCAGCCCCCATGTGCAGGATTCCTGCCCCCTAAATCCAACACATTTTTCTCTGATTAGCTTTTCTTCCCGCTTTGCACTTCCTGAGCTTTTATGGGCATTGTAGCGAGTGCCCTGAGAGGCTGCACAGGGAGCTGGGAAGCGTAAAACTCTCGGGAAGGTTTCCAGGCTGGTTACGTAGCCAGGGCCAAGGGAGAAACTCTTTAACTAAACAAATGAACTAAAAGCACCTTCGCTCTTTCATTATAGGAGTGATAGGTGCTGGTGTGTTTTCTCTCCAGCAGCTTTGACATGCTCGTGGCATTTACGTTAACCTGGCTGCTGGGCTGCCAGGAGGGTGAAAAACCCTTCCCTTGGTGTGATTTTTCCAGTGTTGATGAGTATGAGCTGTTGCCCCAGGTTGTCTAATGATACAAAGTTAATGTCACCATCTCATTTCTTTAAATGAAGATGTGAATCTCGATGAAGTGTTTTCTAGATTTATCTATCAGTTTCCCCAGGGAACTGGGGGATTTAGTCTGCAGAAGAGGAGGCTGAGGGGAGACCTCCTGGCCCTCTGCAACTCCCTGCCAGGAGGGGGCAGAGAGGGGGGATGAGTCTCTGGAGCCAAGGCCCCAGCGCCAGGCCCCGAGGGAATTGCCTCAAGCTGCCCAGGGCAGGGTCAGGCTGGCTCTGAGGAAGGATTTCTGTGCAGAAGGGGCTGTTGGGCGTTGGAATGGGCTGCCCAGGGCAGGGGGGAGTCCCCGGGATCCCTGGAGGGGTTGAAGAGTCGGGCTGAGCCAGCGCTGAGGGGTCTGGGGGAGTTGGGAACGGTCAGGGTGAGGGTCATGGTTGGGCTGGAGGAGCTGCAGGGGCTTTTCCAACCCAGAGGATTCTGTGATAGATGCCCTTCCCCAGGGGCATGATCCAGAAGGCAAGAGCAGGGCAGTGGTGCCTGGAGCCCCTCACGGGACTTGCTCTGCTCTCCCCTGTCTAGAAACAGGACCGCAGTTCTTCCCCCAGCACTTCAGCCCACGCCTGCAGTCTGTGCTGGGGCTGTCCTGTCTCAGAGCCCAGCTCCCTGCTGGAGCGTGTGGCCTAGTGCAAGCGCTTTCTGTGTCAGGCTGCACCTTCAGGAAGGGGAGGACTCCAGCTCGGAGAATATGTGAGAGGCTCTGAGCTGGGTGCATTAGGTGGGAGCGAGCGCATCATCCTTGGGAGCGAGCCGTGGTCTGTGTGTCTTTAGGAAGCTGGATTTCTCTTAATTTCCTTATAGAGCACTCCCAAGGCTGATCTTAAGGCCTGAATTACGTGATGAGATCTGTGTTGTGGTGCCTGATTTGGAGAGCCATTGGTTTTGAGACAATCTTGTCTAGACCTGCGGTAATCTCAAGCCAGATCCACGCTGAAATTCCCATCGAGGCCACCAGGTTCCCTGCTTGGGCTCTGGCCGCCCGCTCAGTCTCATGCGGGTCACTTGGCTCCACAGCACCTCCCCTTCCCATGCGGCGATGAAGCTTGTTGCCCAGCTCTCATGGGAGCAGGAGGGCAGCACGATTATCTCTAAGAATAACCAGGCTGGACTTTTAACACATCTTGTCACTTTGTAAGACATCTGCTTGCTTCTTGTCTTGAACAGCTTCTTCTGCATTGATCTGAGTGGGAGTTTTCCTTGAATCGCCATCAGGCGCACTAGGTTTGATTTTTTTTTTTTTTTTTTTTTTTTTTTTTTTTTTTTTTTTTTTTTGCTAGAGCCAAATAGGAAAGAAAAAAAAAAAAGACATGAATTTTCTGTGGTGTTTGGGCTCCTGGTTTGCCTGCGTGGCTGTGAGCTGCTAGGATTGGCTCCAGGGGTTTGCGTGGGGTGTTGCAAGGGACTCCAGAGACGCCAGCTTGGCGTGCGTGCCGTAGCAGTGCTTAAAAATAGCCTGTGATGTGGCTGCTGGTGCCAAACAGCTGCTGCTCATAGTGGACTCGGGAGCAGGCGGAGGTTTGAACAAGCCCAAAACTCCTGGCAATGGGAGCCGCAGGTTTCGGTCTTGCCAAGCCTCAGCTGTGCTGTCGATAGGAAACGTGAACCGTTCCTGCCCTTCTTCTGCCTCCATCCCCAGCCTGCTGCTGCCTGGTCTTGCCCCAGAGTTTTCTTCTGGCTGCCTGAGTCCTCCTCTCATCCTGCTGCCCACTTTTTCCCCCCTTCCTGACTTGTGGAAACCCAGCTGTCTGCTGGTTTTTCCATCCTCCCCAGGCCAGCATCTGCTCTTAATCCTTCTTAATTAATCCCTTCCATATTAATCTGCTAGCTGTTGGCAATGATCACAGCCTTGTTGTGTCTCCTCGACACAGTGACCTACTTCGCAACCACCAGCCAGGAGCGGGGACCTTGCTGGGTGTTTCGGATGGAGCGGTGGCTTCTGCGTGGCTCCGGGCTGTGATGTGGTTATGCTGATCCTGCGGTCTCTGGCCAGAGCAGCCTCACGCTCTCCGTGGCAACCAGGACCATTCTGGGTTGCAAAAAGTCCTTCCCTTTTCCCAGAGGACTGAGGTTTTGAAGCAGCTGGGTTTATTTACTGCACACACAGAGGCTTCTCAGTGTGAAGAGCATTCTCACTCTGTCCCCCTTGAGGTTTTCCTGCTTGGCTCTGCTTGGTTGGTTTGTGCTGCTCCCTGGGGCCAGTCTAGTCCTCACTAACAAACCTTCTTCCTTGTACCTGGGCATGAGGCTGCTCTCTAAAGGGGCTGCAGAGCATCATCCTCTGAATGCTGAAGCAGAGTAGCAAAGAGCCATGAAGGAGGGCAAAGTTTTTATGTTATTCCCAGAGGCTTTGTGGGCACTCAGAGCAAGCACAGCTCCACTTGCAGGACACAAGGACCCAGCTAAGCTCGCCGTGAGCTCACCCTGAGCGTGCAGTCAGCTAGCGTGCTGCTGGGGAATTGTTTGCAGAGATAACTCGGGGATGCCTGAAGCCTGGGGAGCCTCTCAGAGCTGAGCCAGAGTGAATGGCCCCATGTCTGCAGCTTTATCCCTTGTTCTAGTCCTTGCACTGGATCTTCACTGCTGCGTCCTGCGGAGCATCCTGGAAGGGGGAAGCAGCTGAAGATTAACCTGTTTGTAGCTGTGCTGGGAGTGGGGTGATGTTGAGCTCGGTCTTGATTTCCCTCACAGATGTCTGCACAGAAATAGCCCTGCTGCCTGAAACGTTGCCCTGACCTTCTGGGGTGGTCGGGCCGCAGAGCCTAAAGGCTCCTGATGCAGCAGCTGGGGATGTTGTGAACTTGCTTTTAGCTTACCTACAAGTTTTCTCTTTTCAAGGTCTGAGTTAATTTCCCCATCTCTTGCACAAACTGTTTGTTCCCCCATGCAGAAGGACAGTGTGAGCACTGAGTCAGCCAAGTCCTTGAGTTTGTGTGTTATCCCCTTGGATGCTTGCAGAGGCGTAGGCAGGTGCCCAAGGACCTTCCTGAATCGCTGCCAATGTCCTTGGTGTTTTAGACCAGCTTATTAATGTTTCTGTTCAAAACAAATACATTTATCCCTGAGGATTGTCTCCAGAGTCCAGGTGGAAGAAAAATCTGTGTGAGGTTCTCCCCTGGGACTGAGCGAGATCTCCTGAGTGTCGTGAAGAGCTCAGAAGGCCGTTACGTGATGGAGGGTTTCCTGCAGAAAGGCAGATGACTGTCCTGACTGTGGGGAGCACAGGGCCCGGGGAGGTGGCTGAGCAAGGAGACAGTGCTGGAGCGGAATGATCCATGCCCCCAAAATGCCACTTACTGTCTTGTGTTTGTCCCTGTCTGCTGTGGTTCAGAAATGCAGTTTCTCTCCTGTGTTTACAGGCTCTTCATTGAGAAGCTGCCGCAGCACCGTGATTACAAAAGTGCCGTCATACCCGAAAAGAGGGAGACAGTGAAAGTAAGTGGTAACGTTCCCAAGTCTTTGATGGCTGCTGTTGGAAATGGTTTGGTCATCAGCCGTGGGTTTCCATGCCTCTGGGATGAGTGATCCGTGCAACCGCTGAGAAGCTTTGTCTTGACCGGGCAGTCCTGACCCCTTGGGAGTTATGGTTTGGGTTCTTCTTACCCCGTTGTGCTTCTGCTGGGCTGGCTGTGGTTGTCCCATTTACTCTGTTGAGCACTGGGGTGTCCTTTCTCGTTAAACTCCCTGTTTTCTAAAGACCATGTGGCTCTTCCGTGCGTGGTGGCTGGATGCTCAATGCGGTGGTTCTCCAGGGATTTGCCAGGGGATCCTTGGAGGTTGCTCACAGCCACGAGAAGCCACTGCTGCTCTGCTCAGCATTGACCAGAAGAGCAAAGGACAGCTTGTGTAAATTTTTGCACAGGGCTGTGTGTGCCACCCGGCTACAACACTCCTCTCTGCAGCCTGCCAGCGTGTCCACGCGTGGTGATGGAGCTGCTCGGCCCTTCCTGCCTCATGAACCCTTTATAATCCCTGGGAGCTCCATGTCCATTGATCCTTGCATCTGTTCAGACCTTGTTTTCCTTGTCTTGGGGCTATCACACTCTCATGACCGCGTTTCCTCCCTTCAGAAACTGAAAGAAGTAGCCTTCCCCAGAGCTGAAGAGCTCAAGGCGGAGCTATTAAAGAGGTACGCCAAGGACTATGCTAAGTACGAGGAGCAGAAGGTGAGTGAGAGCAGGCTCGGAGGTCTGTGCTCCCCAGAAGACCCTCAGCCACAGAGGGTTTGGAAGAGGGCAGGTCTCCAGGGCTCCCTGGGTGCTCTGAAATGTGAAGTCTGGGTAGTCCCAGCTTGCGGGGTCCAGCCCCGTCACCTGCAGCGCAGGACTGTCCCCATAGTGTCTCTGCTGCCATTAGGTAGGTGAATCTGTCCTAGGCATCTCTTCTCATTGTGCATCCTGGAGGCCATCTGAGCTGGGGCTGTTGTTGGGTTGTTTTTTCTCTTTGTCCCAACGTGAGGTCTAGGTCTTTATGATCCAGAAACTCAGCAGGCAGGCGGTAACAGCATGGCCAAGGATCTGGGCTTCTGTGGGCAAAGCAGAAAACTCTGCAGTCAGTTTTGCTGTGGATGTGTTTGATAGTAGAGACAGGGATATCAACCTGGAATTATATTTCTGTGGAAGAGGGGAGGGTAAGGCAGCAGTTTTACTGGCTCTCCTGGTGGAAGTGCGGATCTCTCTTTTGCAAGCTGAAGCTTCCTTGCAGGGAGTGCCAGTCACTGGGTACCTTTTGCAGACCCTTTAGAAGCAGTTTGGGATTGCTGAGGGTCTGCAGTGCATAGGCTTCATATCCTGCCTCAGACTAATGTTCCCCTGTCTGCTGATGTCTCTTGGCATATCTCCTTGCAGAAGGAGAAGGAAGAGGAATTTGCACGCAATTTGGCTTTGCAGCAGCAGCTGGAAGAGGAGAAAAATCGGGTAGCCCTGATGAAGCAGCAGCAGGCAGAGCAAGAGCAGTTTCATGCCTTCGAGGAGATGATTCGACGACAGGAGCTGGAGAAGGAACGTCTAAGGATAGTGCAGGAATTTGGGAAGCCAGAGCCAAGTCCTGAGTCTCTGGACGGACCCCTCATTCCTGGCGTGGAAAAGCCCCCGACTGATGTAATCCCAAAGGTTCCTGTCTCTCCAGTTCACCCTGCGAGTCCGTCAGCGGGGACTGTCTCATCCAAACCTCCTGCTGTGGACAGATCTTTGAAACCTAGTGCTTTGGGGAGCACAGAAAACAGTTAGTACCTCTCACTGCACCCTTCTCCCTGGCTGGGGCTGAGCCAAACACGGCCAAGGACCCTCTTTTGGGAGGGTCTTGGAAGTATCTGATCATGGCTCCATCCCTTCTATAGGGGTTTGGCCTTCCAACTCACTGGGTGTTCTTCCCGTTGTCCAGTAAAGGTTTGCAGAGCTGGGGGGAACTCTCTCTTCTTGGGAATCAGCCCCTTGTGCTTCTCCAGCCCAGTCTCTCTGCTCATCTGAATCTAGGCCTATTTGGCCTTCCTAGATCCAAATATTTACAGAGATTGGCATTTAGCTCCCGGCTAGGCTGTCCAAATTCTCCTCTTCTGCCAAATACGGCTCCAAAATACTGATTCAGACACTTCCAAATGACCAGTGACCCATCTTTCTTTAGATGACGTTTTGTAAGTGTTTGTGGTATCTTTAACAAAATACTTAGGTTTTGACACACTGCTAAAGATCTCTTTCTCTCAATTTGTCCCTATTTTGAAAGAGGTAGTGACTCTGCTTTATGAAGTGTCACAGTGACTTTATTTCTCCATGACTGCCACTGTAAAGGTAGACTTTAGAGGAGTTAATGTTTCCAGGCTGAGTTTTCTAGTCCCCGCAGGTGCTGACCTGAGGGACCATTTCTCCAGCATCCTCGACCGTCGCTGCTCACTGTGCTCCTGTTCTCCCCCCAGATGCCAGCATGGATGTCCTTCGCCAGGTCATCGTCCCTCGGGAGCTCTGCCAGAAGTTCCTCCAGCTGGCTGATGCCAACACGGTCCGGGGTGTGGAGACCTGTGGGATCCTCTGCGGTAAGCTGGTAAGGTGGTAATCCTAATTGTACCCTGGAAGTGGCGCAGCAGCCTTTGGTCAAGGTGTGCAGTAGCTTTGACAACGGCCTGGGGACCCTGATTTTTGCCATGGAAGGCTGTGGTGCCGTTTCACTGATGACTAGGCTTTCACGGGAGCGTTAGGGGTGAGCTGCCTCTCCTTTTCCTCCCTTCTGTGTTAGGGTTTCCTCACACTGAATGGTGCCAGCCACCCAGTCCCTGCGAGCGTTCAGCTTCCTCTCTTCTCCTGGTGACGCTCTGCTGGGTCGCTGCCTCAAGCACTCCCCCGTGGCTGGTGAGATGTCCCCTGGGGCCAGCAGGACTGAGGTGTCCCAGCTGTGAACTAGGACCCTCACCCACACAAGGCTGTGCAAACTCCACCTGGAGACAGTTAATTTTCCCCCAAAGAGTTTTGTGTGCACAGGTGTCTGTTGGCAGCTCTAGCCTATCTCCCCTGAGTCACTTGGGGCTGCTTTGCTTGCAGAAGTTTCCTTTGAAATGAAGTTGTTTGATGTAGCAACTTTCTGCAATGCAGCTGCTTCCACTCGGTGATTATTTAATCATGAGGCGTCATCTCCTAGTGAGTGGAGAGATTCCACTTCAGTGGGCATCCAGGACTTCTCTGAGCTGGGTGCTCTGCGCGTGGCAGGGAAAATGAAATAAAAGCTGTGGGTCAGAAAATCTGCTCAGGCTCAGAAAATCCTGCGACTCCTGTGTCAGTAACTTGTATTTCCCCTTTCTGTGACCTGTAAATGGACAGTGGATGCACCCGTGGACATGTTTTCAGAGCTGCCATTCCCCTGGCTGGGCCCCTGAGCGATGAATGTAGAAATTCCACGTTCCCAAAATTTAGGAAATTACGATTGCAGCAGTGGGCGGCGGCAGCGTTTCCTGCTTGGGGGGGGTCTGGTGGGTAACAGCCTCCCTGTGCTGCCTTGCAGATGAGGAACGAGTTCACGATAACCCACGTCATCGTTCCCAAGCAGTACGGAGGCCCCGATTATTGCAACACGGAGAATGAGGAGGAGCTCTTCATGATCCAGGATCAGCACAGCCTTGTTACGCTAGGCTGGATCCATGTGAGTCCCGTTCCTGTTTTACTTCCTGACTGGCCTGGCATTCAGCCAGGAGGCAAAGCGGGGTGTGGGGCAGAGCTGGCTGAGGAGAATTTACTGCAGGAGATGGGATGGAGCAGGCAGCATCCTCTGCTTGGATTTCACCCTCAGGTGCAGTCTCAGTCACTGCTCTGCTGGAGAAACCCAGATCTGTGTTAAGCTTAGCTCCCTTCCTAAAGCATCAAGCCCTTTGAAACTGGGATATTGGGCATGAAGCTCCTGTTTCATCCAGCTAAAAGCTGACTCCAGGGGCACTGTGGGGGCATCCTGAGCTCTGCTCTCAGCGCAGGGCCTCTCCCGCGACGCGTCCCCCTAGCCGCGCTGCCTTTCGCAGACAGCTGCGTCCTGCTCTGCCGCGGGATGTGCCAGTTCCAGATTCCTCCGCTGGCTTCAGCGCTGCCCTGCTGCCTGTCCCCACGGAGCCTTTGGCAGTCGGATCGGTGCCAAGCAAAATGTTTGGTGCTGCTGAGTAATCTCTCGAAAGCAGCAGCTGCCTCACGGGCTTTGACAAATAATTGCCTGCTGCGTGTGCCTGATACGTGCGGGGTGTCTGCTTTTGGTGTTAACTCTTCAGTGACGGCCCTGCAGCATCCAGGGACCCTCAAGAGTCCCTTTGACCTGTCTGCTAGTCTTGGCAGCAAAAACCTCACAAGCAAAAGGAGAAAGGGTGCAGGGTCTGGAGCACAGGTCTGCTGGGGAGCGGCTGGGGGAACTGGGGGGGTTCAGTCTGGAGAAGAGGAGGCTGAGGGGAGACCTCCTGGCTCTCGGCAACTCCCTGCCAGGAGGGGGCAGAGAGGGGGGATGAGTCTCTGGAGCCAAGGCCCCAGCGCCAGGCCCCGAGGGAATGGCCTCAAGCTGCCCAGGGCAGGGTCAGGCTGGCTCTGAGGAAGGATTTCTGTGCAGAAGGGGCTGTTGGGCGTTGGAATGGGCTGCCCAGGGCAGGGGGGAGTCCCCGGGATCCCTGGAGGGGTTGAAGAGTCAGGCTGAGCCAG